TCTCCCAACCTTTTCATCACCAAGTACCACTTGACATTTTTATGATCAATACTTGTATTCCTTAATTCTAAAAGTTAAATAGAGTTTAAATTTTATTACATGCGTCTTTTTTTAATAATTCTTTTGTATAATATGTATAAATGTAAAATATCTTAGTTTTTGAATCTATGAATTAAATTTAAATTTTAAATTTTAAAATATTTTTTGTGAAATTTGTTTCTGTTTATTTTATGCAAAACCAGGCTGAATGGAATTTATTTTTGCTTGTAAATCACTTTAAAAATGGAGCTTATTTCTGTATTAATTTTTTAAATACGATTGTTCAGAAATTTCATTTTTATACTAATAAAGTAGTAGCTTATTAGGTAGTAATAAGTAATAATAACAATACGTTAAGACTCTAAATTTAATGTTATAAATGTAACATTTTTAACGTTTTATACAAATTAAGTTTTGAGATAGGTATATGTTAATAATAGTAAATGTCAACATAATAATATAATAATGATAATGGTATAGGAATAAAATACAAAAATAAAATTATCATGAGAAATTTAAAGCTGAGTTACATAGATAAAATATAAAAAAAAATTTATTTTGTAGCTTTATTATTTTTTTAGTTTAAAAACGTCCAAGTTTGAGGCATATATTGTTGTATGTGTATTAATTCATTATACGCTATACTCAGATTAAATAATATAATAAATAATGATGATTGTAAAAAATATTTGTCAGTATTATTTAGTTCAATCATTGAAGATATCATGAGGGTATTTTATAAATTACCGTAAGTTCGTTATTTAATACAAACCATGGTGCATTTTTGATTATTCTAAAAACTTTGGATTGAAAAACCTTAACGTAACTTATAGATATTATACAAAATAAATATACGTTCTTTTGTCTTTTATAGTATTTTATTACAAGTAGTTTATAGCTAATACCAATTTATTTTGTTATGAAAAGACCAAATTATTTCACTCACGCTGTTCAATAATACGAACAATATGTAATTTTATTTGAATAATAAGTATATAGTGTAGTATGTTGTACATGCGTATCTATGTATATGTATTAAAAATAATATAATTAGTGTCACCTTGTATACCTATTATAATTATGCATTTTCTTGTGATGGAAATGACAATATGTCTCGTTGATAAACGACTTATTTATTCTTCTTCCATGTACTTGGTAAATTTGAATTACAAAACACAAGAGAATATAATTAATTCATTTTACTCGTGATTGCAACATCAATATAGTAAAGGTATGCATTTATTTTGTGTGATTTACTTCATCTAAAATTTGGAATAACGAATATTTTTAATCGATTCGGAACTATTAATCCTGGGAAACTTATTTTAAGTACAATTTTCCCAAGTCAATAAATACTGTTATTAACCTATTAGGATCAAATAATTGTGTAATTATATAAATAAAATATATAAATTTATAATAAATATCAATGATATTTGTTTTAACTAGGTGCACTGGAGTCACCACCGTCATGTGAATAACAACCAATATAAATTAGTCAAAAATAATAAAATTTACTTGTACGAGCTATTTATTTGGCCACCTAGGAATTTATTGAGGTAAAACAGATAAATATTTATCATTTTATTATGAAATAAACGTTATTTATTGATTAATATTCTAAAGAATACGAAGTTATTTACTTACTAATATATAGAAAGAAAGATTTAGTTAGTTTCATCTTAAAGAAAATTATTGTGTAGTGCGTCGAACAACTTTAACCTCCACTGTAGTGCTGTAGTGAGCACCTTTATACTTGTAGGTAAATTATAAAAAGTAATAAATGTGAAAACTTTAATTTGTATCTATAATTTTTTTAATTAGTTTGTCCAATAGTTTCTGATAAAGATTCTAAAATCATTAATCATCTACAGAGTATTATTATGAATTAAAAACTAAACAGATATTTCTATGGAAAAAAGAAAGATGAATAATTCAGTAAAATAAATCTATTATAATTATTAGTTATTACAACATATTTTGAGTAATCGTATTACCTATTGAATTAGTAATACTTACATTTTGATTCCATTAAGCAAATAAAGGTACATATATTTAATTATATATATATATATTTTTGTTTAAAGTTATTAAAATGATTAAATTTTGTACTTTATTTAATAAATCCACGTGCTATTATCATTAAGCAATTTATAAAAATGTAGTTCAGTTTAAAGTTGTATTTCTCAATCTATGTGTTAGCGAGTAACTCTAAATACGTCACGAAGTTTATTAAATGATACAAAATATAAAAATTGCTGACACGATTTATAAAATCTTATATTTATTTAATATAATTTCTATGAAAAATATAAATTAAATAATTTAAAAATAAATTATCTGTTATCGACTTATTTTACATATTTCATATTACCAATTAAAATTAAATAATACCCATTATTCATATTTTTTTATTGTATGTCGCAAAATATTAAATATTTTAACAGCGTGTCGTTATAATATTATACAAGAGCTTAAAAACACTGGTTTAAAACGTCACTTATGTATTATTTATAATTACCCAGTATTAACTAGGTGCTATTGTATCACTTATTGTTAATTTATAATATAATCCGGAGACCTGATAATGACATAATAGCCGTATTACAATTTACAATTGGTATTAAATGTATTGAAATATTATTGAATTTAGTATTCTGGGACATGATTTATTTGAGTACAATAACAAATCTATACTAAGTTATAAATTGTTAAAGCTTTTATGTATTTAATAATAACTGTTTTAATAGATTATAATTTATACGTAGGTATTATTATTGTATTGGTATAAATTAATATGTATGTGGTATTTGTTATAGAATAAATGAGACTTAAACTTTTTTACTTTTTTATTGATCTTTAATATTTAAAACATGTAATCGAGTGTAAAAATACTTTACATAAAATATGACTTTTATAATATACAACACTAAATACACTATAGTCACTAATTCACTATATACACTTTAATACCTACTATGGTATATTTTATATGTACATATTGTACTTTGTAGCTCATTATTTTTCTCATAATCAAATGTTATCAAGTTATATAGGTACATTTATTTAAGTCATCATAAATAGGTACTTGGTTTATTTGTATTTTATACCAAACTAAATGTTTTCAAAAATTATCTCGAACGTTTTAAAATTAAATATATATAAAATATGGTGTTACAGTAGGTTAATATTTTTATTTCAAGACATATAATATAAAGTTATAAAACAAAATTGTCTGTTTTAACAAAAATGACTGTTTATTTTCTATTTAGTTATTTCAGTTATTGAAGTACTAAATAAGGCAGTATAATTACAATACTCAGATTTGTCTAATATGTTTGAACAATTATATGGTTTTCATTTGTTAAGAGAATAATGATAAAAATTGAAAATATTTTAAATAAATATTAGAACTATAATTAATCATAAGTTTTCAAAGCATAAACAGTCATTATTTTTTTTTTTTTTAGTGTATATATTGTATAAGTACTTTGAAAAGACAGAAATCGATAAAAATGCTATAAAATATAATGAAAAAAAAAAAAAAACAAATAAATGACCTAACAAATCAAAACTTAAATTATATTAAAGTATAACAGTTTTGAATTGAAACATTTTATCCGTGTTCTTAACTTCATAAGTAAAGACATCTAGGAAATAGAGGAGGAATAAAAAAAATAATCCATAAGTTGAATATTTTATTACTATTTTTAGGTACCTATGTTAGGCATATACATCAGCATATATTCATGAAATTTATTTAATTTACTACTGAATAAAGTATAATGTATCATGTTTAACAAGAAAACTTTTGGTTCATTTTACTAAGGCAAATTCTGAATTTTTATCCTTAGATATTTTAATGGTTATATTTATATAATATTTAAATATATACTCTTAAATAATAATACTCAGTTATGTGCATCTTTAAATATGGAGGGGAGGGGCTATACTGAATCTGTTAATCAGTGACGTCATTTGAAAATTTGAGTACAGGGGGAAAATTTGCGATGGCTTCACTCATTTTAGCGTATGGGGAGGTCTAGGGGAGGGGTGCATTCATATTACTAAAATTATTTTACACATTTAAAAAAAATATTATTGTATGTTTTATTAATCTAAAATTGTAAGATCATTTTAAAAAAATAATAGAAAAATAGAAAAATATTGAATTACTTTGGACCACGGCGTGTCTTCACGCTCCGATCCATTAAAATTACGTCACTGCTGTTAATGCGTTGTACATCATAAATTCAAAATATATTATAATGACATTTGTCATGCACTCGTAGTATTCATCAGTATTAATATATTATATAATATGATAACTTTTTTCACGTCTTTTATATTTTATTTCGAAGAAATTATAAAAATACATTTTTCTTGGTCGTAGGTACATCGTTATTGTATAAAACTCGTATTTTCATCTTTAATATAAAGAATTTAATAAACGTAACAAATAATAATATATTGTACCATTTGTACCATCGATCGCTTTTCAGTATTTTAATAAAAAAAATAACTTAAAGTACTAAGAAATTATCGATTGCCGCTAAAAAGTTCAGAAAATGCTATATAAACTAATATGAGCATATTGTAATAGATGTTAGTATAAAAGATCAAAAGTTTTTATTTTGTATTATGAATGATGACCAGACAAAAATTTATAAGAAAACGTATTGTACTTACTGATATTAAAATACACTGGTTTATTTTACCTTTGTATTTTTTCAATTTTAGATACGCCAAGTAAAATGCGTAAGAATTATATTATTAAGGGTATTTCATGATAACTGACAACGTTGCATATAAAGCATATTATATAGATATATGAGCGATGAATATGTATTTTGGGTAGGTTTTTCAATAAAAAATGTATATGTTCTCCACAAATCAATTTATTTTTTATTTAAAAATGTACACTTTATTTAATGTAAATATTTTATTTGTTGTGTATACAGTGATGCGGCAATGTAGCTCTTCATATCGGATGTCTGGTTTAGATCGGCGAACAAACGTAGACATACAAATTTTGAGTGCTGCTAGTAAAGCAATTGCAGAAAAATGCTTTTGGAACGCGTGCAAAGCATTATCTTTTGGATTGTTTCTGATGGCTGTCGGAGCCATAATGGCCATTATTGGTATGTACATTTATTTTTATTACACAAACGAAATGTCCATTAAAAATTGAATTATTTATCTATTTACCGTAATAAACAATATAATATTGCGTATTATTTACTGAATTATTTTAAATATAATGCGGTACGATGAATTTGATTCTCTAGTAAATAGTTATAATAACTATTGCAATGTTTTAAACAAATAGCTATATTAGATTATAAAAGATAATTTTATTATATATATTAATAGATTAATTTTAATAAATAATTATCTGTATAAAAGAATACATATTTCAAATTTGATGATACATGTGTAGTGTATGAGTATTATAAAATAAACCCATAAAAATATATAAGTTATTTAAATAATTTATAATTATTTAAATATATTTACATAATATAGTTGTTATACTAAAAATCAATGTTTTCAATATTGGGACCCAGATGTCCCATATGTACAAAGCTTTATACATAAATAGTAATTTCAAAATCAGTTTAGTAGTGTTGAGGGAATAACGATTTAATATATAATAGTAACAATAACACTACAATTAGGCAATTGACCTATTAAATTTTTATACATAACTAATAATGTACTAATTAGTAGATAAATCTCAATCATTATAGAGCAACTAGCAAGGGCTAAGGATCTAACTAGGAACACTATTAATACATAGTTTTAATTAAATAAATACATGTCCTATTTTTCCTTGATTTTTATTGTTATTAATAATATTTTTTTTATTACGTAAAAACAAACGAATTAAAGGTTTAAGTTGTAATCGGATGGATTTAATATACATTTTAAGTGTATATAATATAGAACAATCAGTGAAAAATGTTTTTCTTCGATACTATTACAACATTACTTTCATTATAATATCAAAGTAAATCAGTTTTTTTTTTAATATTAATGTTAGAAATATATTTTATATTTATGAAAATAAATAAATACAATACATAGTATTATAATATATAATATATAGTTAATACTTATCATAGTTTAGATGTCTATACATTACTTTTACAAGTGTTAGAATTAATTATTAAAATATTTAATATTCTGTTTAAATCAAATTAATTATCTACTGTTTAAAACTAAAATCGTATTTTATCGTAGCAGTGACCTGCAGTTGAGTTTTATTTATGTTTAATAATAGATTTTTAAAAGTACTCTTTATGTGAAAATGTGCTATTAGCCGTTTAAAGTACCATGAAAAAAATTTAATAAATATTTATATGATATTTTCACTCGAAGCGTGATGATTAATTATATTTTATATTTTCATTGATAGAGATACGTAGCATATTTTTTTGAACATAATGAGATAATATATTTAAAAAAAAAAAAAAAAAAATGAAAAATCATGATATTAGATTTTATTAATTTTATTATTTTATTAACAGAGTTATATAAAAATAATTATGACATCAGAAGAAGTTTAGGACCAAATCCAAAAGACGAAATTAACACAATAGAATTCTTTAAATTAAAAAAATGCTTAACCTACTTTAAGATAAAACCAATAATATTATAAAATTATATATATATATATATTTAAATTTATTTTCTAAAAATGTAACGTTAATAGCCCTAGTTGTCGAAGCGAAAATTGTGTGTACATTTCAAGATCAATAAAAAAAAAAAAAAAAAGAAAAAGAAAATAATTATGACAAACTACTAACAAACAATTATAATTCGCGTAACTCAAGAATTAAACAAATATTAGTGTGGTTTAATAATTTTTGCTGAATTACGATTTTATGTATTGGTAGTTTATTAATAAAAACTTATTATTCAACACTCATTAATATAATTAATAGTTGAATTACTATACTTTAAAATTGATTCATGTTAATTTATTCTGTTCAAAAGTAAAACGTAGTTTAAAATATTCTTCATAATAAGTAGGGCGTATCTATTTTTATAGTTAGTTTCTACACTAATAGAATATAATATTATTTAATGATACAATATGCAGGTACCAGTTACCTACCTCACACTGACTTTCATCGTATTTGTATCCTAATCGATTGATAGAGTTGAGTTATTTTTATCATATTATATATTCAAAAAATTAACATTCTTACGATTCACACACAATTATAAACTAGGTTGAATTGTACATTATATGCAGCTGATGAATTACTCGCATAACCTGAATAATTATTAATAACTATTTCTGTATAGAATTAAAGCAACTCAGTAAAAATTTATTTTTCAATGGTAATTTTTTTAATTTTATGATAACTTATAGGTAAATTTAAATGTAAAACTAATAAGAAGTCGTTCGGTTTAATTTATGTTTTACGTATAATAATAATTTTAATACCAACATTAATAAAGTAACAATATTTGTAGGTATAGAATTATTCAATTTTTTTTTATTTGAAGGTTTTTTTTTTAATCTTTAAAAATGGACGATTAAACGAAAAATAAATAATTTTAAATCAATTTCAGTTTTTTGAAATATTAGTGGTTGAATTTCTTATTATAAATGGTTCAGGAATTGATTAAATTAAAATTTATATATAAAGTATTAAGTTGGTAGTTTGGTTCAAGTTTTTGAATGAGCTATAAATAAGACTTTATATTATTTTTACCATTTATAAAATTTAATTAAATGTATTGTTTTAAAATTATAAATTATTATAATATTTGACAAAAGTTGACTTTAATCCGATTACATGAGTTGTTTAATATAATTTTCTTCAGTCTAAAAATACTTTTAAAACTATAGAGAGTTACGCAAAACAAATCAACATTTTCATGCATAAACTTTAATGATCCTGAACCAAACAAAACAAAACAAAATCAAGTAACTAAAATTTAAAACTTGTTCAATTAACTTCTATTCAAAGTTCAATGAAAAGAGTATGATATAAACCTTTATAGAAAGTAAAAATCATAATTTATAAGTTTTACTATAAAAGGATTAATAAATTTAAAAACTAATACTTTTTACTGAATGATTTATAAAATTCATTATTAAATAACTTTAATATTATTCTGAATATAGGTAAACGTAGTGATCCCATTTGTTTATAAAGTCTTCTTTCATATAATATAACTTATGATCTTTACAGTACCTTAGAACCCTACTGTATTTATTGTATAGTATTATAGCTATACAATTACATTTTGAAACGTTGAATACAATTCTTCGTTATTATTATACATTTTTAAGATGTGTTATATCCTATGGGTTATTTTGATTCTGATTAAAAGTTACAAAAACAGTACATTATTAATAACACCATGATTTTGCAAGTCATTATTCTATTTATGGTTTATAATTATGTAAATAATATGGTGTATACTAAAACTGCATCTTATAAATTGGTATTTTTATTACTCTTTTGTTTTCTTTTGATATTTGGATTGAGATTGAATAAGGTATGATTTGTTAGCAGTATTTAAGCCGCAGTCATAATAACACAAATATATGTATAAAAGTGTATTTTAGTGTTGGTTTAATTTTGAAAATTAAATTAATAATCCAATAAACCTACTAATAAAGTATACAAATAAAAAATATTTATTATATTTTGTTACATATCTAAAAATTATGGCACATATACCGATTATACCAATGGGAAATTCCGTAAATTATCATTTTTAATTTCTACCAAAAATATTATACTTGTTTTAAATCATATTGCTATCAGTATTTAATATTAAGCTCCATCAAAAGCTAAATATCCGATTTTTTTAATTTACATGTTTTTCAGCATCTACTTGTATTTATTAACTTTTGATTAAATAATCCTGCTTGCAAATTTATTGGGATTTTTTTGTACATAATCTAACTTTGATACACATTTTGAAATGTATTTTATTTTCACTTTTGACGAATTATTTTATAGGATATTACGCGGAACAGCTTTCATCAGATGATATTGTTACTAAAACTGATATTGGAAATTCGAGTACATCCATACGTACAGCAAAAACAACAAAAAAATCATCTCATATATATAAATTGTCATATGCTGGACCAATTGTGATGGGCGTTGGAGGTAAATATTGAGTAATATTATTATGTGTGATACAAAATATAATTAAAATTTAAAACTTACTTAAAATTATTTGTTTTATTCATTAATGATAATTTCAAAAGTACACAATTATGATTTTACGTCATACTAAGTTTCAAAAATGTGATGTTACCTACTTTCATTAAAATATTAAAATATAAATTTAAGGGTTAATCGTGCAGCAATTTAACTTGTATTATAATACTATACTTACTTGATTGGTTACCATAAATCACCATACTACACACGTTTTATCGTTTTAGAACAATGGATATTTTTGGAATACTTTTACTTTTATAAAAAAGATAAAAACTTATAAAAAACCTGATTACTTGATAATAAAAGTAGAAAAAGTTTTAATGTTTTATTTTTTTTTTTTGTTCAGGGTTATCCTTAAAACTACTGAGTAATTTTCAATTTCGAAAATCTCTAAGTATTATCTGTATTAAATTAAATATGCTAGGTATTTGAAACTTTTGTAATACTTTTATACTACTTCTAAAATATAAAAACGGTAATAATAATATTATCCGACGTTTTATATAATTTATGTTAAAAATTGAAATCTGAATATATATACACATTATAAACGTTTCAAACTTGTATATTATGATAAAATTTCAGTTGTCAGACCTTCATAACCTTTATTAAAAAAATAATAACAATAATAATATTAAGCTCTTTTAGTTGCAATAATAATAATTATTAACTAATACTGTATATAAATTTGTATAATAAAAATTAACAATAATAATGTCAAGTCCTTTATCAATCAACAGTTAGCACTGCATGCAGTGAATATTTTATAAATGTATAGAACACCTGTTTGTACAAAAATTAAAATAAATATTTAATTACTTAGTTACTTAACCTATTTAATCTTCATGATCTGTAAAATTATTTTTTCAATCATAAAAAAGTACTAATCGAATTTTTTATAAACAAGAAAAAAAAACGCGTGTCGTAAATCAATCGTTTTCCAACTTTTTCAAGATTTATTTTTAAGCAGATACACGACACCTGTGGTCAGTGTCTCGCTATAATACGTATAGAGCTTTCGTTATCATACGACTCAAAAACATGATATAGGTACAGCTATACTGTTTATAACTTATAGATATAGGTATTTTTTTTTTATTATCTACTGTTTATTACTGCATAGTTTTACACTGGACCTTCAGATAAACTTTTTACGTTTGATCGGAGATATCTGATTAAGTACCCGAGAACTCGAGCAAAAAATTGATTAAATGTTAGTGGGCTAGTGGGAAGTCGAAAACGATCAAACGACGTGTACCGCGTATCAGCAAAAAAGTTTTTCTCGATTTTATTACCACTCGTTGGTCTAAATACGAACGAAGTGTGTCGCCGCGTTTATTCGGGTTTAAGTCGTCGTCGTCGCGTGATACGAAGGTCGAAAATCACTGGTGTGACGACGGAGGATTCTTGTTGTTTCAGGGTTCATCGTGGTGGCGGCATGCGTGATGACGTTCGAGGCGCGCGACCGGGCGGCGAAATTCATGTCCAACCAATTGAAAATAATGGGCGGCGGTGGCGGCGGCGGCGGTACCTTGTCGGGTCATCGCGGCCACGGCCGGCAGACGCCGTCCGCCGGTTACCTGTCCAGGGGCGACAGCGGCCGGAGCAGCTACCAGAACCCGTGCGACGGCGGACGGCACAAGATGAACAAGAGCCCGTCGGCGCCCAATCTGGCGGCCGCCGCGTCGTCGTCGAACCGCGGCCCGGGCGGCGCCGGACAGCCGGGCGTCGGCAGGCTGCCACTGCGGCACAAGCACGCCATGCACGTGCTGTCGTCGAGCGGCGGCCGAGCGCTGCTCAGCCCGCACACGCTGCGCCGGCAGGCCATGTCGATGGACACGCAAGACTACAACCCGCTGTTCTCGCCGCCCCGTTCCCGGCACAGCAGCTCTGGCCTGTTGGCGTACAGCAACAGCAACTGCAGCAACGTCTTTGGAAACTTCAACTGCAACGGCAACAAGCGGCGGCGACGGCAGCAGGAGTCGTCAACGGACCCGATGAGGACGTCGTCCAGGGATCGCGGGGCTCGATGGTGCTGGACCTGCACGTGCCCAACGAGTGTCCGGTGACGATGCGGGTGCGGGACAGGAGCCGCCGGTCGGACACGGCCAAGCGGCACGCTGCGCAGGCAGACGCCCGTCGAGTTGGACGACACGATCGTCGCGCTACGCGGCCACGGCGGGCGACCACGCACGTCCGCAGCAGGCCAAGCGGTGCACCACGCGGTCGGCCACTTGCGACGTGCCGAGTCACGCGGTCAAGTCGAAGCGCAGGCGACAGGACTCGAGTTGCTCGGACGTGGTGGCGGCCCGTCGGCGGTCCGGTTCGCCGGGTGTGCGGCGGCGAGGCGGCGGCAGTTGCGGCGGCAGTTGCAGGCGGCGGCGCGGATGGCGTTCGTCGGCCAACGACGTCGCCGACGCCGCCGAGTGGGCCAGGACCTGAACCGAACGCCGGCGGCGGTTCGGCCGTGTCGTCGCCGCAACAGTCCGCCGACCGGCAGACGACCGGTACGACGCCCGTGCGACCGCAGTCTCCGCCGGCCACCGACGCGGACAGCAGCAAGATGTCGCTGTCCAGGACGTGTTCCGACATCGTGTCCATCGACAAGTCGTTCGAAGAGTCTAACTACAATAGTTCGTAGACAGACGATTTGCCGTGTGCGCTTGACTCGCAATCCACTCGAGAGTGATCATCTCGGTCTGTACACGCGTATAATATTATTATTATTATAATTATCATTATTATTATTATTATAGTACCGTATTACGATATTGTGTAATATAATTAGGCGACATACGACGACATCGCAAGGGGTGTATGTAATTTGCGCCAAAAACAATCCAAAAAAATAAAAATATATGTCATTTGCGCCACATCTAAAAATTTATTTTGGCGATTTGCGCCAAATAAAACTAAATAAAAAGGCATTGTATAATTTGTACCATCGTTTACCTACTAAAATTGTAATTTGCGCCATTTTTCACCTTATTAAGTTTAGTAATAAAATATATAAAAATTATGTTGGACACGCGTCGGTACGTATTATTGTATATAATATGTACTATGCGATGCAGTAAATTTATCTGCTGGTAAATTCCAACTGCAATTGAAGTTGAAAGTGTGGCGCAAATTACATATTCCATTTCATTTGCTGCCGTGGCGCAAAATACGAAAATTAATTTGTTTATGTGGCGCGAAATACTGTTATATTTGTATATTTTGCCGCAACTTACATACGTACTTAAATGTGCCTATTCGTGGCGCAAATTACAAGTAATTAAATTGGCGCAAAATACCATCTCTCACCGCAAGTGTATAATATCATGTAATATTTTATAGGGTTGACGGTATTAGAGGACCGGAGGTTTACCATCAACGGATAGTGTAATGCCGTGCGCGGTATTTCGGTATCGAACGGTATGCCGTTCAAGCGGTATTCGAGTGTTGGCCGGTAAACCGGTTAACCGCAATACCCGTCAACCCTAAACGAGATCATACTTTCGCCGCTGCGTAATAATATTATACTTCGTGGCGCGCGTCGTCGTGATGCATGTCATAATATCATGTAAACTACCACCTTAAATCGCCGGTTTACACGTATATATATATATATATACGTACTAGCTGACATCCGATATAAATGATTATCGTTGTGTAGTGTATGTTATTATAAATATACTTTTTTTTTTTTTTTACATCCATATAATATGTACAGTCGTTAAACATCGATCTACTTACCGGATGATTCGTTTAGCGTAAAACACGTTGTTTATTTATTTATTTTTCTAAATTTATAAACGTTTTTGAAAAAAAGTTTTTTTTTTTTTAACACAGTTTTGATTTTTCAAAAAAAAAATAAAAATAAAGATGCTTGCTTTCAAAAGAATAATATTTATTATTATTTTTATCGTTATAATTATGTTAAATTTTTCTATTGACAATATCCGTTTTTTAATTTCTTATTCCCAAGCAGTGTATTTTTTAAGAACATTTCGCGATGTACAGTAAAATCGAATTTCAGACGAATAGTTCATTAGTTACAGCTTGTAATTATTTGTACAAAATTTGATTCTGATAGTTTTAAATAGGTACTCCAAATTATTCTTTGCTTCGAAGTATAAAATTTAAAAATATGTTGTAGCTAGGTTAGGTTAGGTAAAATACATGAAAAAAAAAAAAGTAATAGCTATATAAAATAGTTTAATATATAATTTTTTTCCTATACATGTTCCATAACGATTTCAAATTGTATAAAAGAAATTTTTCAAAAACCATAGTATTTTCCGAAATAATGAATATTTTACGTTGAATGGATCAACCGGTATTATACATATAGGTAGGTACTCGTTTTAATTCAAAAGACGAATAATACTAATATTATATTCAATAACGCGAGTTGAACTTACTTGAGAGCAATTTTACTGCAGTATAATATATCAACATATTATTGTTGCAAGTTTAATGGATTTAAGGAAAATTAAGTTTATATTATATTAGCGTGAATAGTTATTTGGATAATTCAAACGGGAAAGAGTATTTGATCAGCTGCATGCTTGCTTACAACAAGTAATAATGGTTTCTTAATTCAGTTTCGAACCTTATATTACTATGGCGTGTTATTGGTTTTTAGGTTCTTAAAATGTATTATGTAATAATAAAACCCCCGTAGAGTAATAAATAGCCTAAGAGAGAAAATAATTTTTAGAAACGTGTTCATTAGCCGTGATTGAATAGTTTAGGAGCAGCAGTGGTGTAGGTACTGACTATAGTAACGTGAAATAGAGTGAAAATGGGTGTGTTATTTTGTATGATTAGGACTAAGAACAAATGATTTTTTAAAAATGCCAATAATTTTAAAACTCTTTTAAAAAAAATTCTAATTTGGAATTTTATTTGAAATAATTAAACGTGTCGATAATTAATGTGTTAATGTTTTAACATCGATTTATGTTTATTATTTATTTGAAATTTCATAAAAATAATCTCGTATCATGTAGTGCAAGAACACAAAATCTTTTATTTAATTTAGTTTTAATTTAGATATTTATGTACAGTTTCAATTATTGTATTATTATTATTATTAACTTACTTCATGTGAACTCAATACACGATTGATCAAAATATTTTATCGTATCAACCCACTCACTTGGCATTTTCCCACTTGTACATCTAGACCTGTATATTCTATGTCTATATAATATATTAATATTTTATAAATTTTCTAACTGAGTATAACAAAATCTAATTTAAACTTAATGCCTTGGAAAATTTAAAAAAGTCCTCAATCGGAATTAATTATAGATATCAATCAATGTTGTATCTAAATGGTAATTATCAATAATAGAACATTTTTTTTTTTTTAAATATATTGTTATCCGTTTATGTTTTTATTGATTAGCGATAGGAAGTCAATTAAAATATGAGTCGATACTTGATACTTTATTCGAGTTTTAAAGATAAAACGATTTTAATTAATTATAAATTTAATTCCAATTAGAAAAATTAAAATAAAACTGTTGATATCTTACTAATCAATTTAACATTCGATACCATGCTATACCATAATATAATTATTATGTTTTGAAAAATTTTATATGAAATAATTACATAATAAACTGGCATATATTATATTCGAAATTTTTCATTGATTTTTGAATTATTTTATAATTATGTTATTGATCACTTGTACAATTATTATGCATAATGGATTGGAACTAACAGGTTCGACGACGGTGTTATAAATACATTTCTGGGCATCAATCAAACGGGAACGGTTAAATTGGTTACGTCATTAATTGTAATGTAGAGAAATTCCAATTTCATACTGCCTGCAAAGGGTACGTGATACTATTTCAAACATTAATTACGTTCAGATAATCTGGTTACTGTCATTTCTATATTCAACTATTGCTCTCGGGGGAAAAAATTTAACATATAATGTTTCAAGACTTTTGAAATTCTGATCAACAGTATACGAAAAACTATATCACTATTGTTCGTGAATAAAATCTCATCTTATTGTAATATTGTTATTTAAATTACGTACCAAAAAAAATGTATTGTTATTTGCCATTTTTTTTTTTTTAATAAAGAATGAAGACATAAAGTAACGCACTCATGTACGATAAATATTGTTTATGAATTAAGACATAATCTAATATAATTCTATAATATATATATTATATACAAGGTTGCAACCTAACCGTTGCTTAAATAAACGAATCTTTTACCTTTTAAAATATGAAATTACAAAAATGGTTAGTAGAAACACTATACATTTTATAAATTTATTATGTAGATTGTAATGAATTAACAAGAGAGCAGCCTCATATGTAATAAATAAATAACGTGAATCAATTTTTACAAATCATTATTCATTATACTAAAAATATGTTATCTCGTACAATATTTTATTTATCCATAATATGAAATATGATACTATCTTCGCAACAAACAAATAATTTCATTATTTGTACTCACTAATGTAAAAATTAAATATTTGAATTGATATACTATATAATACAAAATTGGGTGCCTACCTAATAATTTAAACGATTTTTATTTGTTAAATTGATTCACGTTATCATCCAAATTACTTAAATACTCACTATTTAATATTTAAAAATTAATTATAAATTATTAGTTCAAATTATATTCGTATTAAATGGCATAATACATAATTGATTCATTTATAATATAGTCATGCATATCATACCTATCTATATAATTTAATGAAAGAATTAAATTTTCATAATCTGCTCACGAAATTTTTACATTTATAGAAAATAAACTATTTAATTTGAGCTATCATTATTTACCATACCTGTACCACTTATTTTATATATTTATTACACCTAAATTAATTTACAAACTTATATTGTAATACCTTAGATTTATACGAGTATATAAAAAAAATGTTCGTAAATTTATCGATCTATTGCCTATTATTGTAATCATAACCCTAAAATAACCGAATTAAAAAACGCGATCGTAATTAAACACTGAATATCGTTAAAATATTTTATTATTATCAATCATATCAGATTATGGAAAGATCATAATTTTTATAGTTTACAAGTTTATTATTAAATTATATTGCAAAATGTTGAATATTGATATATTTAGCACGACTGTACCTACTAAACCAATAATCGATAGCCCTATGGTATTTTTTGAAATTCATATTTTCATTGTAATAGAGGTTTTGTGTACATGCTAATAAATTGGTATATGACCTATTCCGACAGACAAAGTACAAACAAAGAATTTGAAATTTGATCGATAATATATTTTAATGAGAAAGTCTTGTACTTATTAACACACAAAATGGATAATAAATTTAGAGGCATCAACAGCTCTATATTGATTTTATTAACTCTATATAATTACCACAAAAAGGTCCAACTGAACATTTATTAACTCAAATGAGAATATTTAGTGCTCTCACAGTTCCAAGATTTATTAATAATGAATAAATAACAATTTCTGCAGTGAAATGTTTTTTGTTCTTAATATATTTACATAATATTATCATTAAAATCACATTAAAAGTGTCTAAAATAATTAATTTATAATATTTTAACTATACTATGTTTTTTGATATCTATTTTCTATTTAGCTCCTTAAATTTTAGCCAGTTTAATTACATTATATGTCGTATAATACTACAAGTTTTATAAACTATTAATTTAGAATTGAACTCGACTAACACATTATTGACTTCATTAATTTTTTTTAGATACTCATTCCAATAAAAATATTTTTTTTATGTACATACAATGGATACATAGTATATTATTATTTTAAGATTAAACTACTATTGTTTCGTGTTTGACTTCATACGTCTTTTAATACTTGGGACTTACTCCCATGTATGTATTTTAAATTTACTACAAACGATTTTGTTTTGAATATTTACTATACTATTATTCTTTAATACATAGAAATATAAATGAACTTTATGTATAATTTAGTTAATAGTTAAGATTACATACTTATTACTTATGTAGGTAATATAATATCATTAGTATTTATATATATACGTATATATCTACATAACCATATAAAACAATATATTGTGTTAAGAATTTGTAAAGTACTGAAGTAAGATTCGATTAAGTAATAAGCAGGAATATGTTAATTTAGATCAAATGTAAAATGAGGAAAAAAATTTTAGGTAGGTAAACCTATAATGATATAAATATTATGAACAATAATTGTTAAAAGATATTTATTCTAATACTTATTTTTAGTAAAAACATGAATAAATTAGATAATTATAAATTATAATCATTAATTAATCATCATTGTTTCACTATTACATAAAACAGGCAAGTTCGCGGAAAAGCAATGATAAAAAAAGAAAAAAAATAAGATATGAAAATTAGGACCAAAAATATTTCATATCATTTAATAATAACACGTGCAATGTGCATAGTACTATAATATTATATTCGTAGGATTATTAAATATATTATATTTGTTAGGAATTTGATAAAACAATTAACATTATTCATTTTATTTTTGTTTTAATATTCAATATTTATATTACAATTTACAATGAATGAACACAACTATAAAATAACTATAATGATTAATGAGATATCCTTTAATGTTTACATTACATATAGTATAACTAGATAAAATACTAAATAGTTATCATTTAGGTATAGTATTCCAAACGGTAATAAAATTATTTTAGAAATACATCAAATAAATAAAAAATTTATAAATATTTCAAAAACCAACGCTCAATAAAAAATCTAGCAATGATTATTAATTAAATTATACTAAAACTAATATTAAGTTAC